GGTGAGGGCGCGGCCCGCGGGTGCGGACCGCACGGGGCTTGCTGTGTGCCCGCTTCGGGCGCGCGATCCGCGGGTGCGATCGGCACGGGACCTGCTCGGGTGCAGCACGCGGGGCGGGGTGGGGTGACGAGACCCGCTGGGTGCCGGGGTCGGGGTGCACTGCCCGCGGGTGCGGACCTGCTTGCTGACCGTTCGGAGCACGTGGCCCGCGGCTGGGGACGCGGACCTGCTAGGTTCCCGGGGAAAGTGCAGCATGTGGGGGTCAGGAGCACGATGCGCCCCGAGCCGGGTTCGGGGCGCGCGGCTCGTGGGGTACCCGCTCGGTGGCGGTTCAGGTTGCGTGGCCTATGGGTGGGCCCTGCTCGGTGACCTGTTCGGAGCATGTAGCCCACGGGTGGGACCTACTCGGTGATCTATTCAGGCAAGCACTCCGTGCCAGGTTCCAGGCGCCTGGCCCGCGGGTGAGGACCTGCTAGGTGCCGGGTTCAGGCCTCATGGGCTGTGGTTGGGGACTTACCCCGTGCTGGGATCAGGGGATGCGGCCGGCCGGTGGGGACCTGCTTGGTGGCGGCGCAGGAATCAGGGAACGGGGTCGCGAGTTGGGGGGGGATCAGAACTGGGGGGATCAGAATTGGGGGGGATCAGAGCTGGGGGATCAGGGCGCAGGGTCGCGGGTTGGGCAGGACGTCTGAGCTCCCCCAGTTTCCTAGGGACTGAATGGCTGGCTAGAGAATTCTGCAAAGCAAGAAAGCTGGTGAAATTCACGTCTGAGGAACATTGCGTGTGTGCTTGTGTATGTGTGCCCTTGGTACTGGGGATTGAATTCAAGGGCGGTCTTCCCCTGAGCTACACCCCCAGTCCCTCATCTATTGTACTCTGAGACAGTCTGGCTAATTTGCCCAGGAGGATTTATGGGCCTGCGCCAGCGTGCCTGGCCTTGAGGGTTGCATCAGGGCCTTGGCTCTGAGCTGTCTCCCAGCCCTTTTTTATTTTGAGACAGGTTCTCCCTAGCTCTCTAAATTGCCCGGGATGGGCTGGAATTTGCAATCCTTTGGCCTCTACCTCTCAGACTGCTAGGATTACAGGTGTGGGCCACCCCGGCTGGCTTTGTGCATTTCTAACCCCCTGAAAACCTTTAGCTGTGCAGGCTGGTGACAGAACACAGGGACTTAACACACAACCAGGGGAGTGCTATGTCCCTGCATTTGGTGTTTACACTCCGGAGGTGCAGACTGCATCCAGCTCACCAAGCCTCTCCTGGGTGCTTTCTGTGGGCCCAGCCAAGAGTGGCTTTATAGTTTCAAATTCAAAAGAATGTGTTGTGACACGTGAGTATCACAAGAATTTATGCCGGGCGTGGTGGTACAGGCCTGTAGTCCCAGCACTGGGGAGGCTGAGGCAGGAGGATCACTGTTATTTCGAAACCAGCCTGGGCTGCACCGTGGTGAGTTCAAGGGCAGCCTGGACTACAAAGCCAGACCCTGCCATAAACAAAACAGAGAGAAAACCAAAGCGTTTAAATGTATTTAAATGTCAGTGTCTGTAAGTGAAGTGTTACAGGTGTTACCAGTGTTACCTGTGTTTACCCTTGTCTAGAGCTGTTCTGCCTATGGGCAGAGCAGGGTGCTGGACAGAAGGTGTATCCAACAGAGCCAAAAAGTTCCTTGTCACGAGGAACAGAATAGGTCTTGTTCAGACTATAGTGTGACACATTCTATAGAAGTTTAAACTAGATTTTGACTCTTTTTTTTTTTTTTTTTTTTTTTTTGGAGACTTGATCTTACTATGTAGCCCAACCTGGCCTCGAATTTGGAGCAATCCTCCTGCCTTAGCCTTCCGCCTGCTGGGATTGCAGGTGTGGACCACCACATCCACCCTAGATTTTGCCATTTCATTTAACTTTTTCTTTTTCTTTTTTTGTGTTTTATCTTTTCGAGACAGGGTCTCACTGTGCAGTTCAGGCTGGCCTGGAGCTCACTTTGTAGACCAGGAGGGCCTTGAACTCACAAAGATCCTCCTGCCTCAGCCTCCCGAGTGCTCGTCATTTAACTTTTTCTTGAGAATTTTAGACATATTTATCCCGGATGGTATCACTTTAAAAATAATAAAAAACAATTCCTTAATAGCCTCTGTATGTTTGGGTATCCTGTAAGTGTTATTTTTTTGTGGTTCTGTTCAAAGCAGGACCCCAGTTCCACCCACATTTTACACGTACGTGATGACATAACTGTCTCACTCTGGTGTAGCGTTCAGCCTTGGGCCGAGCTATTCATAGGGGGCGGCTGCCCGGGGTACCCATAGTGAGCAGGTGCCTGGGCTGTGTGTCCCAGGGCCCAATTCTCTCCTGGCCCTATGCCCAGAGTGACAGAAATATGGTTCAAGGTGGCCAAGACAGTGACCTCAGATAAACACTATATAATCTTAAGTTGCTTTCTTAGACTTGAAGCATGAAACAGGGAAGGAATATTTCCTTTCTACTAGGGGGTAAAAGTGCTTGGGCCGGGGTAATCCATTCAAACACTGGCTTTCTTCCTGATTCTGCTAAATCCTTTGGTTGGCTAGTTTTTGTTTTTTTGAGACCGACTCTTACTATGTAGCCCAGACTGGCCTCGAATTGCAGTGATCCTCCTGCCTCAGCCTCCCGAGTGCTGGGATTACAGGTGCGTGCCACCATGCCCAGCTAGATGTGAATTTGGATCAGGCACCTTGGTATCTACCTCTCACTTAGGGCTCGTTATCCGGTCTGCCGTGTGGCTCGCCTTCCCGGATTTTGTTGAACACATCTCCACGGGGAACAGGACAGACGTGTGGCCTGCTGCTTTCTGCGTGGGGAGTGCGGTAAGTGCGGCCCTCTCCTCCTGCCTCAGCCTCCTGAGTGCTGGGATCACAGTCAGAACCACTGGAGACAGACCGGGGAGCCGGAGGAGGAAGGAGGCTGGCTGTGTTTTGCTTATGAAATCCATTTCAGTGTACACTGACTCTGTAAATGCCTACCTCTGAGTGAGTAGTCACCTCCCCGTGCTGCTGCCTCGGAAGCCAGGAGCCGACCATCTCCCCTTCCTCCGTCCGAATGGAGGCACTGTCTTCCTCTCAGTGTCTCATGAGGAGTGTGCCGCATCCCCTGAACCCTGGCTTGTACCCACAGCGCGCCCTGATCCTTTTACCCACTCCCTCCTGCCAAGGGGCCTTCTGAGTCTCCCGGATTCTCAGAAAAAGCCCAGTGCGTGCTCAGGCCTACCAGTGTGCCCGAGGCGGAGGACAGGTGCACACCCCTCCTGGGCAGAGCTGCACACACCATGTCCCCGTTCCCCAGCACTGCCTCCCGACCTCAGCCTCTCATTCATGGGTGAGCGGGCGCTGCATCCCCGCATCCGGAACCCTTCAGAGCGGGCTCTCCCTGCCTCCAGATGTGGATCCAGCTGCTGTACAGTGCCTGCTTCTGGTGGCTCTTCTGCTACGCGCTGGACGCCTACCTGGTGATCCGCAGGTCTGCAGGACAGAGGTACTCCTCGGGGACGCGAGGGCCGGGTTTGCCTTACGAGGCTTGCTGGCAGCGGTGGAATGCCGCTTAATGTTCCGGGGCTGGCATTGGCCCTGGGCTCCGATCGCCTGGCATGTTTGTTCTGCGGCCCATGTCCCACCGCTGTGCAGTGGGGTGCTGCTTGCCAGGAGTGATGGGTAGTACTGGCTCAGTCTAGTTTGTGAGCTTTAGGATTTATTGTCCTGATATGTATAAATGAATAAAGGGTCTTCCGGTGGACTCCCATCACACTCAGATGCAAACGGTCACCATCCTGTGGTCCTGAGGACCTGCATCTTGTGGCCCTCTACTCTGCCCTGCCATATGGGGCAGCTTCCCTTGGCTTCTGGCCCCTTCTGCAGAGCATCAAACTCCTATCCTTTTGGTTCTTTCTCTATAGCTGGTAAAGATTCTCTGCTTGCCTGTCTCCCCTCCCGTCCCCTCCCCTCCCCTCCCCTCCTCTTTTCCTTCTCTCCTCTTTCCTTCCCTTCCCTTATTTTATTTTACTTTTATTTATTTATTTATTTATTTTTTTGGTACCGGGAATCGAACTCAGGACCTTGCGCTTGCCAGTCAGATGCTTCTGCCGCTGAGCTATATTCCTGGCCCCCTGCCCTTATTTGAAAACACAATCTCACTAAGTCACTAAGTTGCCCAGGCTGAGCTCAAACTTGGGATCGCCCTGCCTCAGCCTCCCAGAGTGCTGGGATTACAGAAGTGCACCACCACCACTTCTGGCTTCAAGTTGGAATTTTGTGGAGATTCAGATAGTCTGATTGTAGCAGATGAGAAAAGAACAGTGCTCTCAGAGGATACTATAGATTAATTTCCTATTGCATGGCTTTATAGAGAATGGGTCACATCTAGGTTAAGTGTCAAAAATAGCCCTTTGTATTGGCATGTCTGTCATTGAGATTGGAGCTGGGGCTGGTGACTCACAGCCATAGTCCCAACTACTCAGGAGGCTGAGGCAGGAGAATTACTTGAGCTCAGGAGGTGGAAGCCAGTTTGGGCCACATAATGAGACCCTGTCTCTAAACAGAAAAATTTATTTTAATTATTTTTTGTCTTTTTGAGACAAGGTCTCACTATGCAGTTCAGGCTAACCTTGAGCTCACTTTGTAGCCCAGGCTGGCCTTGAAGTTGCAAAACTCCTCCTGCCTCAGCCTCCCGAGTGCTGGGATTACAGGCTTGCACCACCATGCCCGGCTTTAAACAGAAAACATTAAAAAGGGCTGGGGATGTAGCTCAGCATGGAGAGCCTAGGCTCAATTCTCACTACCACGCCCGCCACCAAAAAAAAAAAAAAGTTAAACATAGAGCAGATGAGGGTAGAGCTCAGTGGTAGTGTTTGCCTGGCTTGTTGAGGCCTAGGGTCTGAGTCCTAGGATCACAAAACAAACAACTTAGGAAAAAAAGCAAAGAAAAAAAAAACTTAGAATGTACTATAGAACACAGCAGTCGTATTCCTGGGGTTGAAAACAGGAGTTGAACTACTGTACACACATGGAGAGCTGCACTGTTCACAGTAGCCCAGGGACAGAACAACCCAATGTGGCAGACAGGTGGGTGGAGAAAGCAAACGCGGTCTGCCCACGGAGTGGGGCAGAATTCAGCCCAGAAAGCTAGGTAGCCTTGCAACATGGTTGACACTCAAAAAACACACAGAGCGAATGGTCCTATCTGTGTCCTATCACACACATCTTTCTGTGTGCAAGAAATCTTCAGAACTGGCGTGGTGGTGCTCCAGGGTGGTCCCAACACGCTGGGAGGCTGAGGCAGGAGGTTCCAAAGTTGCAGTCCCACCTGGACCACAACTTAGCATCTCAGAGAGACCCTGCCTCAGAATAAAAAATGAAGGGTTGGGTATCAGGGCCTGTGGGCCTGAGGGAACTGGGGAGGGACTGCGAAGGGGAACAGAGCTCTGTTAGGGGGAGGTGAAAATGTCCTGGGACCACACAGGGTGATGGTGAGACAGGCCTGCAGGCGTGCTGGAGTGTTCGCTTTCAGATACTTAGTTTTACGTTATGGATGTGAATTTCTCCCTCCCCAAAAAGCAGAAAACCCAAGCCAAGGGCATGCCCTGCAGTGAGCTAAGAGAGAGCTTCCAGCTTTCAGGTTCCCAGCAGGGAAGTGGCTTGGGAGGTGACCCCAGCCGGCGCGACCCGGCCCGGAAGCCCTCCCCTGAGCCCTGGCTTGGTTCTTCTGTCTCGGCAGCACCATCCTGCTCTACCACCTCATGGCCTGGGGCCTGGCCGTGCTGCTCTGTGCCGAGGGAGCCGCTATGCTCTACTACCCCTCCGTGTCCAGGTGAGCCGAGACGCCCCAGGGCCTGCCCGGCCTGTGTTCTGTTGCAAATGCTGTTGGTCAGTGCTCACTACAACATCTTCCTTCCTGTACTTTTTTCCCAATATCGGGACTGCATCCAGGGCCATGATCAGAATGTCCTCCTGTCCTACCTTTCTGCAGCATCCCCCAGCAGAATGCTTTAGGAGCCTCCCATTCATTGCAGACCAGCATGATGACCTCCTTTATTTGCCTGAGTTTCCTGCCTTTTCTCAGAAAGACAAAGTCAGAGTCCTTGCAGGCAGATCTTATCTCCCATTCAGATCAATGAGCAGGCATTAGCCAAAGCCTTTTTTTCATTATCTTTTTGAGACAGGGTCTCGCTATGCATTGCACGCTGGCCTTGAACTCACTCTGTAGCCCGGGCTGGTCTCGAACTTGCAACGATCCTCCTGCCTCAGCCTTCCTTTACGAATGACTCGATGTTCCCCCTCAGGTGTGAGAGGGGCCTGGACCACGCCATCCCGCACTATGTGACCACGTACCTGCCGCTGCTGCTGGTCCTGGTGGCCAACCCGATGCTCTTCCACAAGACTGTGGCTGCAGGTAATGACAGGGAAGCGCTCTGGACACACAGCCGAGGGGACAGCCGCAAGCCTTGGGCTCAGATAATAATCCCCAGGGTCCTTGTGAGATTATGCAGGATGGCTGACTGAGACGGGAGCAGGTATTGTACAGCTGGAGAAGGGGAACAGGTCTAATAGGTGAAAAGGAACAATCTACTTAGTCAGGGACGACACCGGTTCCGTGCTGACATTTCTCAGGTCAAGGCCAGGACTAGCTGACTTTTCATTTTGGGGCCGAGCTCAGCCTGGGTCTGCCCTTAGCGTGCTCTGGAGGCCCTGAAGGTGGGCTTGGGAAATGCGGGTGTTGGGGGAGGCAGGGCAGAAGGAGCCAGAAGTGAATGAAACGGAGAGCCTGGTCACTCCCATAATGCACCTGGCAGGGCAGGCAGCAGGAAACAGGAAGTGGAGCAGGGGAAATGAGTCTACTGCAGTGATAACAACTGGATGAGAGACCCTAGAGGGCCCCTGCATGCTGTCCCTGCCATCTTATAAAACAGACTTTCCAGCTGCCAGTGTGTGTGTGGGGTGTCTCTCAAGGGAAGAATGGGAATAAGGAGGTTTGCCTTATCAGAATGGTGGTTGGAGGATCAGCTATTGGTTGTAGAATCTTTTAAAAACATCATTTACCCAGCATGGTGGCACACGGCTGTCATCCGAGCACTTGAGGGGCTGAGGCAGGAGGATCCTTTTGAATTTGAGGCCAGCCTGGGCTACAAAGTGAGCTCAAGGCCAGCCTGAATTGCATAGTGAGACCCTGTCTCAAAAAGACAATGAATAAATAAATAAATAAATAAATAAATAAAATAAAAACATCTTGTAACATACTGTGTCACTTGTAATAGGAAATTAGACTCTTTGCATGAGTCTTCTCCTCTCTACCTTTAACTATAGTACGTTAAATACAGCAGGCTTGTACAGCATTGCATAAGAAAAATGATTTGATTATCACTCACAAATGAAAATGATTTATTAAAAAAGCACTGAAAGGGTCTGGGGAGATAGCTCAGTGGCTGGCAAGTGCAAGGTCCTGAGTTTGATTCCTGGTACCAAAAAAAAAAAAAGAAAAAAAGTACTGAAAGGAAAAGCTGTGTGTAGTGGAACACACCTGTAGTCCCAGCTGAGGTAGGAGGATCGCAGCAAGTTTGAGGCCAGCCTGGGCTACATAGTGAGACCCTGTATCAATGAACAAACAAAACAGAAAGACACTGAAAGGAGTATACTACAGGGATTGGGAATGTGATATAGCACAGAGGTAAAGAAAGCATTTATCTAGTATGCCTGAAGCCTGGGGTTTAGTCCTTAGCACAGCAAAAGTACAAATAAAAAGAAAGAAGTTCAGTACGATGCTAGCAGTAGCTATCTCTGGCCAGAAAGATCATAGGTCATTAATTACTCTTTTTTTGAGACAGGATCTCGGTATGCAGTTCAGGCTGGCCTTGAACTCACTTTGTAGCCAAGGCTGGTCTCGAACTTGCAAGGATCCTCCTGCCTCAGCCTCCCAAGTTCTGTGATTACAGGTGTGCGCCACCACACCTGGCTATAATACGTGTGTCTTTTTTGGTGGGAGGGAGTCTTTTTGAGATAGGGTCTCCTTATGCAGTTTAGGCTGGCTTTGAGCTCACTTAGTAGCTCAGGCTGGTCTCAAACTCACTGCCTCAACCTCCTGAGTGCACCACCATGCCTGGCCTCTTTTTTTAAAAAAAATTTTGTCGTGCTGAGGTCAAACGTAGGTCCGTGCACATGCTACGCATTCTACCATCAAGCTATGCCCCAGCTGTGAGTTTTTTCCTAAACTTTTTTAATGCGTTCTAACGTGTCTGTAAGGAGAAATGTTAAATTGTTCAACATTTTTCAATAACAGTGTGTGTTATTTCAAAATAGAGAAAACCTTCAGAGATACTAAAGCCGGGCATGGTTGGTACATGGCTGTCATCCCAGCACTCAGGGAGCTGAGCCAGGAGGACCGCTGTGTGTTCAAGGCCGGCCTGAACTACACAGTGAGACCCTGTCTCAAAGAGATGACAACAAAAAATTGTGCCCGAACTAGTAAAACCCAAATAAAACCAGGAGTTTAGTTCATAATGTGTCAGGGTTGTTTTCTTCCTTGACACACGTCCTGCGGTTGTGTCTGATGCCGGCAGTAGGAGGGCTGGGAGAGGAGGATGGGTCTACGGGACTTCCCTGTAGTAAGTAAATCTGAAGCTCAAACCCATGCGGAAACTGTGAAGAGAGATTCCTTGGGGCCCGTGGGACGCGAGTGCAAGGCTGTGGGGGTGGCTCCGTGACTCCCAGAGCCTGCTGCTCTTGCCTGGGATGTCCTGCGCCGTGACGGGGTCCCTTGGGGTCAGGCGCACTGATGTCATACCTTGTTCTCAACAGTGGCATCCTTGCTGAAAGGCAGAAAAGGCATTTACACGGAGAACGAGAGGCGGATCGAAGCCGTGATCAAGACCCGATTTTTCAAAATAATGCTGGTTTTAGTTGCTTGGTAACTTTTCTTCTTCATCTCCAGTTACCAGGGGGAAGGGATGTGGTGCCAACTTGCCACTCTGCTTTTCCAAGGGTGACCTGGGAGTTCCAAAGGGACAGGGCGGGAAGGGACACCTCTAAGACCTTGCTTAGTGCCCTTGGAAGAAGTGCACAGAGGTCAGGGAACTAAGCCCAGAGTTTGTGAACTTCTACAGAACGACGGCCGGGGATATAGCTTAGAGGCACAAGTGCCTGCCTGGCAAGCACAAGGTCCTGAGTTCGATTCCTGGTACCAAAAAAAAAAAAGAACTGAATTAAAGAGAGTGTCTGTTTGTTCTTTTCTGCTTTAGTTTTTGAGACAGGGTCTTGCTCTGTAGCTCAGGCTGGCTTGAGCTCACCATGTAGCCCAGGCTGGCCTCAAACTCACAGCAATTCTCCTGCCTCAGCCTCCCGAGCGCTGGGATGACAGGTGTGCACCACCACACCCAGCTTAGAAAAGAGACTGAATTTACTGAAACTGTCTCTAAAGCCTGGAGAATAAGAAGTCCTGAGTTTAGTTTTGAAATATCTCAACCGTACGCCTGAAGTATCACATCCCATTGCTGGGTTAACCAATATAAGGGAGTTTTTCAAATGCACCCTTGTGCCCCGGACACCGCCATGTGTTTCTGCTTTGCCGTCAAAGGACGGCAGAGGACTGGCTAAGCAGTTTTTCTGTCCTCAGCTCACCTGGCCTGGTCTTCTGCCCAGTGGCTTGGGTGGCTACAGATAGGCCATAGGCATTGTAGGCCCTGGCAGCCTTCAGTGCTGCCGTCCCCTGGTGAGAGGAGACCACTTTGGACTCTCCTAGGAGAGATAGAAGTCTGCCTCCTCCTTCAGCAGAGGCGTGTTTCACAATTCCAGCAGAAATGGCAGATCAGATTCTAGTGTCCATGAAAACCTCAGGTTACCCCTAAGGAATGAATTCCAGCTATCTAAGCCCATGCTGGCCCCTTACCCTGTGAGGTGCTTTTATGCATCTGCGCAGGTGAGCTTGTTGACCCTTGCATCAGACCAAGGGCAGGAACTGCATTTCTTCGATTAAGTTCTTCGAACTTAAAGGTTCGATTAAAGGTTCCATTCCTTAGGGCCGGTGTGGTCAGGTCTCCGCGGAGAGTAGGTGCTTCAGGCTGTGGACAAACTACTCCCTGACCCTTAGCATGGAAGTGAGATTTTATTGTATGTTCTCTTTACCTGTGGCCCGTTTTCTGTAACAGTTGGTTGCCCAACATTATCAATGAAAGCCTTCTATTCTACCTTGAGATGCAACCGGATATGGACAGAGACTCTCTGAGAAGCGTCAGAACTGCAGCCAAGACCACGTGGTTTATTATGGTAGGCCATACATCTCTTTCATTAAATCTCTTTCTTTTCCCTTCCCTCCTCTTTTTTTTTTTTTCCTCCGGTACCGGGAATTGAACTCACAACCTTGCACTTGCCAGGCAGGCGCTGTGCTGCTGAGCTAAATCCCCAGCCCCCCGTTCCCTCCTCTTGTCTTCTGTCTTTTTGTGGTACTGGCGAGGGAACCCAGGACTTCACGGATGCTTGCCAAATACTCTACCACTGAGCTATCTCCCCAGCCCCCTTTTACTGTTTTATTTGAGAGAGGGTCTTGCTGGGTTGTCCAGGTGAATCTCAAACCTTCCGTCCTCTGCCTCAGCCTCCCAAGTGGCCAGGATGACAGGTGTGTAGCACCACGTGCAGCTCAGAGGATTTATCTTGCAAGGGTATTTCAGACCATGAGAAAAGCATAGGGAGAAAGATAAAAATCCACAAAAAAATTCCAAAAAAATGAGCAGGATGGTTAAGTACATTATAGTCTTTGATCTTTTTTTTGTTGGGGGGCGGGGAGCAGATGATACTGTTGATTGGACCCAGAGCTTCGTATATGCTAAGCAAATGCTCTACATTGAGCTGTATCCGCCCCAGTTCCTGGCCTTCCTCTTGAGGGAATGTTACCCAGAAGTTAAAAATGACAGTGATGAACTCTGTTATTAAGTGGGAAAAGTAACATATAAATTTATATTATTACTACATAAAATACTATGGGGTGGAACTGCATGAAATTTATTGTTTTTGTTATTATTGGTTTTTTTCCGGTACCGGGGATTGAACTCACGACCTCACGCTTGCCAGGCAGGCGCTGTGCCGCTGAGCTAAATCCCCAGCCCCCTCCATGAAATTATAATAAAGGGACATCTCTCAGGGTTTGCATTCTATCACAGCTGTAATACAACAGAGAACCTCTGAGATGTGTCAGAAACGCTGTTGGTAGAAAGGTATACCTTTAGCCATGCAGTTTAGTATGGCGTGCTTCCGACTCAGAGAAAATGGGATTCGTAAGATACATCACTCAGTTCTCCCTTTGCTGGACAAGATACCAGATACCTGAAGCTTAAAGGACAAGAGGTTTCACTTGGCTTGTGCTTGCAAGACACTCAGCCCATGGCCAGCCGGCTCCAAGGCAGGAATATCACGTTGCAAGGGCAAGACAGACCAACGTTGCTTAGCTCGTGGAGGCCGGGAAGCAGAGCAGGGGAACAGTAGCACCAGAGAGGAAGGCCGGGGGGGCCACACACAGACTCCAAGCTCACTTGCTGGTGACCCACGAGACACACTAAGAAGCATGTCCCCCTGTAGTACCCCAGGCAGTCTCCAGCCCATAGGTGGACAATGCAGCCAGATGGTCCCACCTGCCCGCTGGGTCTCAGTGCTTTGGTTTGGAGCCCCGTGAGGTTCCATGGTGAGCTTCACTGCTTGTCGCACACAGGAGGAGGGATGTTTGGTACAAGCCCCTTGAACAGGCCAGGCCCTGCCCTGGCAGTGCCAGATGGAAGGCACAGGAGGCATAGCTGGCCCTTCGTCCTGAAGCTTGAGTTCCTCTCCCCCATTTTCCTTCCCTTTGCCACCCTTGTCTTCTCCTGTTGCCGGCACCCTCTAGCTTTCTCCTTCTCTGTCTCCCTTCCATCTGCCCACCGCCTCTATCTCCAGGCCTCTCTTTGAAGGGACAGCGCCCACTGTAGCCCCTCCTGTCCTGCTCAAACCAACCAAGCCAGCAGCCTGTCCAAAGGAGGGCAGCCCCGGGCCATCTGGAGTGACCTTTGTCCCTCCAGCTGCCCTGACCACCCTGTGTCTCTGTGTCTTCCTGCCTCCCAGGGGATACTGAACCCAGCGCAAGGATTTCTCCTATCCCTGGCCTTCTATGGCTGGACAGGGTGCAGCCTGGACTTTCAGTCTCCTAAGATGCTGATCCAGTGGGAATCCATGACGACCTCAGCTGCTGAGGGGACCTGCCACCCGCCCGAGGGCTCCTGTGTGCCCGGGAAGGTGGCGCCTGTCAGGGAACACACTTCGGACGAGGCCCTGAGTATGCTGTCTGGAGGTAATTCTCCTGTGCTCCCTGGGAAATCTGTGTGTGTGTGGGAGAGGGGGGGTACCAGAGTTGAACCCAGGACCTTTGCACTGAGCTGTATCCTAAGCCCTTTTCTATTTTTTGAGACAAGGTCTGGCTGGGCTTGCACTTGCAAACTTGAGATCTTCCTGCCTCAGTCTCCTGGGCCTGTGTTTCTACACCCGGCTCCTTAGAACTGTTGTAGCAAACACAGTTTCTATGAGGTTGTATTTCATCTCTCACCTCCCCTTCTAATATTTGAATGGCGCCTTTGCTTAGTTATTCGGCATGGCAGCCTGTATTCATCATAACAGGTTCCTAGTCTGGCTGGATGGGATTTTGAATATGTGACAGGTTGTCGCTTTAGCCTCTGATGCATTTGTTGTCGGGCAGTGAATGTTAGCACCCGATTTCCTTAGATTATAGGTATAGGTGAATGTGTCCATCTTGGCTGGGGCACCTAAGGTGAAGAAACGATGCCCTAATGCCGGCCCCTCTGAGCTGTGGGGATTCAGGCATCTGTAAGTGTTTCAGTTCCCCTGCAGAATTTATGTGGAAATTCGTGATAAAGATCTGCATGCCCAGAGATCTGCATACCCAGCAGATACTAAGCTACCCACCATTCACTTACTCAGGTGCGCCCACTTGAATGTGGGGTCAGAAGTAATGTTCTCCTGCTGTGTTGTTTGAAGGGCTACTCTTCAGAGAACACTCATTACTTACATGTCACTACAGCTGGGCATGGTAGCAGACACCTGGAAACCCAGCTACATGGGAGGCAAGGGCAGGAGGATTGCAAGTTCAAGGCCAGCCTGGTCAACTCAGACCTTGCCTCAAAAAACAAAAGAAGGCAAAAAAAAAAAAACAAAAAACAAAAAAAACAACCAAAACCCCCTAAACTCACCCCAAAATATGAGTTCTTGATAAGATGCAATCAGATTAAAACAAAAAATTAGTTGTTCTAGTTGGTAGATTACAACTTTCATCTCAGAGTTTGATTTCAGTCTTCATTTGACTAAAGTGTCCTTATAGTTCCAGCTGATTACAAAATTTATGTTTTATAGAATCCAGCTTACAACTCATGAAGTAAATCTTTGCTGACATACTCCTTCCTCTGTCTTAGCGTTCCTGGGTGAGATTTGTTTTAGCAAGAACGTATCTTTGGGTTAAGGAAAAAGCTTTGAACATCCAGCTTGTCCACTGAACTAATGATCTGTCACGTACAAGCTAATTACTCCTGTTTGACAGGTGTAGTTTCGTGGTAGCCCACTGGATGTCTAAGGGGGTAAAGGGACTCAGGGAATGTTTGAAAACCTTGGGGATGGGAGTGTTCCTTTGTGCTGGTCATCCGCTGGGATGGGGCATGGGGTACGGATGAACTGACTTTGCCATTAAACTTGTTGCATGCTGACTTCTGTTTGTCACCGGCGGCACTACCAGCATTGGAGCTGGGTTGTTCTTGTGTTGATTTCTGACCTGTGCATAATGGGACCTTCCGTAGCTTCCAGGGCTCTGCTCCCTCGCTGCCCCAGCTGTGACAGCTGAAATGATTTCTAGACACTGGCAGGTATCGCCGGGAGGGGAAAGTGGCCCCGTGTGGAAGCCGTGTCTCACAATAGCCAGGCTTTCCAAAAGCACGGACTTCACAGTTCGCTTTATCCAGCCCACCTGAGCTACATCCCGCACGCACAGAGAACAGACCAAAGATGAGGGACAGGGTACTTCGGGCGATAATAAAACAACATTGCGATTCGGAGGAGGGAAATTTTGCAGCAGGATGTCTCGAAAGGAGGTGGATTTTCTTTTTCATTCCGACTGATCAAATCCATTTGCAGGTGACAAACTTGGTTTGTGGGGATGGTGGGTGTTGATCGGTCAGTAGATTGATTTCAGGAGATGGTATGTTTTGGTCGTGATTGGGAGTCTTAGAAGCAAACAGGAGTTCTGAGCAAGCTGAAGAGAAACCATGTGCTTACAGACTTTCCTTCCCATCTGGCTGTGTCTGTCTGTCCGTCCTTCCATCCCTCCCTCCCTCCAGTGCTAGAGTTGGGACCCAGGGCCCCACCCATGCTACACAGGTGGTCACCATTGAGTGCCACCCGGACTTCACTGACCACAAACGCTTGTCGAGGGAGGAGGACCCACCATTTGGAACTGCTGTTAGCATGTGTAGTTACTAGGACTGCTTGAGCAATGGGCCCAAGAATGTCATCTGGAATCACTTTTGTACTCGCATGCTGGTAATTTCCAGTGGCTGAACCAGTCTCGAACAGTCAAATAAAACATTACAAATAACAACAGCAAATGACTCCAATCTGCCCCGTGGTCCACCCCCCCAACCCCCGCCACAATCACCACCGACAAGCTGCATCCATCGGGCCTTCTGTAGTTTGGTTTGTCTTCATAGGCTTTTTCTCTCTTTTTATTTTTCTGTTCATGCTGGCAGTACATAATGATTAAATTCTGTGTAGGGAGTTGTTATGGTTTGTGTCTGGATGTTCCCCCAAAGCCTCACGCTGTCATGGGGCGGGCTTTTAAAATTTATGATTGATCCATGATCCAATGCTGGGATTATGGGTGTGAGTGCTACACCTGCCTTGGGGCAGATAGTTTGCATATGTAATGGAGAGAAAGAGGCTGCTTGCAGCCACTCCTCCCTTTTGTCTTGCTGCTTTTGCTATCTTCTGCTGCCATGAATGGTTGCCCTCTGCCATGTGCCACTCTGCCTTGGAGCCAGCTGAGTATGGACTGAAACCTCCACAGACTGTGAGCTAAATAAACCTTTCCTTCCTTAATTTTGGGCATCTGTTATTTTGTCTCAGCAAGGAGAGAAAAGTAACTAAGACAGGAGTTGGTACATGTGCATAACACATTGTAATTCTTTTTTGCATCCTCCCCTGCAGGCTGCCTTCCTGTCTCTTAGTCCTCTTTCCTTTTGCAAAAGATCTACCTCCCTCCTTCCTTTTTTTGAGGGGGTGGGTACCAGGAATCGAACTCATGACCTTGCACTTGCCAGGCAGGCGCTGTGCCGCTGAGCTATACCCCCCGGCCCTCTCCCTCCTTCCTATCATCTACCGTTTAGTTTGCGCTTTATTTATATTTTGAATTTGTCATATAACAGAAACCACGAGCTAATGTGTGCCTGATTTATTTCCCTTAAAATAAGGGTCTCAAGGTTGCATCCATTTTCCTACACATCCTTCCTTATTTTCATCCTTTCCAGGAAGCTGTTGCCTGGTGTGCCTTAAAAGATGGGTATTTTCACAAGAAATCTTTAAAAAAAGTGAATAGAGGGGCTGGGGATTTAGCTCAGCGGCACAGCACGTGCCTGGTAAGTGCAAGGTCATGTGTTCGATTCCTGGTACTGGAAGAAAAACAAACAAACAAAAAAAAACCAATAAAAAAAGTGAATAGAAATCCAAAAGAAAAATAAGCAGGGAAGCCATGCACATAGCTCCTTTCTTTTACCTCCTCCTTAATATTCATTTAAATTTTTCGGTTTTTGTTTTGTTTTTAACATTTCATAGAGCTGGAGATGGAATCCAGGATCTCACACATGCTAGGCAAGTGCTCACCCCTGAGCTGCACCTCCAGCTGCCTCCTCCTCCTCCTCCTCCACCTCCTCCTCCTTCTCCTCTTGACTGAAAACATGGGCAAGGGCTGGCATTGTGTAATAATTCCCAGAAATACTGACATGAATGAATGTTTGTCTTTGAACTACATTTGATTACTAACAACTGAAAGAGCAGAGATCTCTAACTGTCCACAGAGAAAGGAAAACACCCTTATGAAACTTGCAACTATACCACTTGGGTAACTTCCACACCTAGCGATTTTTCAAGAGGTTTGCATCTTGTCTATACCCAAACATTTCTACCTCTAGTTCTTTGCAACTGGTAACTGCACTCTAGGTACCATTATGCCACTTGGAATTGTGGGAGAGCACAGAAGTATGTTTCTCCTTCCTACAGTTCTCTGTTCTTGACAACAGTTCCATGTTTCTATCCCTTTCTCTTAGTCACACACTTCTGTGCTCTCTCGCAATTCCATATTTATAGCACAAATCCTCTTCCTCAAACTTTTCTGTCCTCTCTCACCATTTCTTGCTTCCCTTCCAATCACTCACTGCCGCAATTCCTTGTTTATCTCATATATTCTCTTGCCCCAGTCCTCTGTACTGTCCCACAATTCCCTATTTCTGCTGCCGTCTTTCTTTTCCACAGTTTCCTGTATTGCCTACTGCTACGGCTTGTGTCTGGATGTTCCCCCAAAGCCTCATGCAGTCATACCTGGGGGTTTTTGAGAGGTGGCTGAATCTAGAGTTTGTGATAAATTCGTGCTACAGTGCTGGGATTAAGGGTGCTGGGATTAACGGTGGGTGTTTATTTATTTATTTATTTATTTCTTCCGGTACCAGGGATTGAACTCACGACCTTCTGCTTGCCAGGCAGGCGCTTTTGCCCCTGAGCTAAATCCCCAGCCCCAAGGGTGGGTGTTTATTAAACCAGACCACTGATTGGAGTGGCACCGCCCTAATCCCAGTAGCTTGGAAACAATATAAGGGACAGAAAGCTTGTCTTACCCCTTATTGCTTTGCTACCTTCTACCTGCCATGAACTGTTTCTCCTCTGTGATGCCATCTTGCCTTGGAGCCAGCTGATTATGGACTAAAACCTTTACAATAGTGAGCTAACTAAACCTTTCCTCCTTCAACTTTGGGTGTCGGGTATTTTGTCTCAGCAACGAGAAAAGTAACTGAGACACAGAGGCAGGAGGACCACAGATTCCAACCCAGTCTGAGGAATTTGGTGATTTAGCAAGACCCTGTCTGAAAGAAAAAAGAGGGGGTGGGGTGAGGATGTCGCTCAGTGTGAAAGCCCTGGGTTCGGTCCCCAGCGATGAAAAAAACTGCACATACAAACAAAAAATCCCCCTGCCTCCTCAATTCTTGTCCACTTTACAAAAACCAAGCTGAAAGATTAAATGGGTGCCGTAGCGTCATCTCTGTGTGCCTGAGTTTTAAAATAACTTCCTGGGGTCTGGAGATTTAGCTCAGCGGCACAGCTCCTGCCTGGCAAGTGCAAGGTCGTGAGTTCGATTCCTGGTACCGGAAAGAAAATAAATAAATAAATAAATAAATAAATAAATAAATAAAATAACTTCCTGTAATGTAGGCCAGTTGATCTATGGAATGAAAAAAAAAAAAATCTTTCCAAAGCTAAATGAATACCTGGGGGCGCTTCTTTCAAGAGGGCAAACACACGTGCTCAGGGGTGGGCTGCTTGCACAAGGTGCATGAGGCCCTGAGTTTCACCCCCAGCGTAGAAAAGAAAAGCAATAAAGCCACCCATCAAAGCCGTGTCCCTCCCCTACATTCTGTACCTTTCGTTTTCTCACAGTTGAAGAGGTGCCCTGTTGGTTCACTCAAATGCTGACAGCAAGAGGTAGGGGAGACTGGAGCAGAACACAGCCCTGGGCCTCAGGGTCTGCTGGGCGGGGCTGACCCGATGCAGCTGGGCCTTGCATGGTGTCCACTGGTGTTTCGGTCCTGGGGGTCAAGGTTTTGAAGGCATCTCAGAAATGAAGGCACAGGATGCGTCTACATCTCAGGTCAGCATGGGGCTGGAAAGGTCCCAAGAGCCTTCCTGGACCTGCAGATCTTATTCAAGGAGGGAATCGGCGAAGGCATCATTTCCTCTTAGTGACAGACCGAGGCAGGCCTTCAGGCCAGAAGAGAAACCCCATGGGAATCCAGGCTCCCGGTCCTTTCCCTCAGGACTGAAGGAGCTGCTTCTGCCTCCTCTGAGCTGTCCGCTGTGGAGCCCCGGGGGACCAGAGCCTTTGAAGGCCACAGGAAGGGCCCAGAGCATGTCCTGAAGTGTGAGGTCATGCGGCAGTGTCCTTGGCCTAGACCTCCATCAGCGGCCACCACATAGTCCCCAGACGCAGCCTGGGACCACAGCAAGCCCGTGTGAGTTCTCCCGAGCCCAGATGTCCTCGGATCTGTGTGTGACCCTGTGAGAACGGACTCTTTGGAAGTGCCACCAACCCACGGTAGGAATGTTCTGGAACTGGAAATATCCCTTAGGAGTCTTCCCAGCTGGTGCCTGCTTGCTCTGGCAGGAGAGCTTTCTGCAGCCTGCCCGTGACTGACCCGACTCTGACAGGACCTGGCCTAGGGTCCTGTCACCCCTCTCTCGGTCCCTGGGTCAGATTCTCAGGGAGACCTCCCAGGGGAGGGCTGGCATGTGTCCCAGAGGGAGCCTGGGTATCAGACTGGCCTCTCTGATCCCTGCCTGTTGTGCCCTGTCCTTCATATTAGCAGGGTTCCGCAGCACCCTCAGGTGCACCCACATGATGCTGAGGGACTTGCCTGTTTATCCAGTGATAAGAAAAATCTGCTGGGGAGAGGGGTGCAGGTGTGGTTTCAGCATGGTGACCCCAGTGTTTCTCTGAGGATGACGTGATGCACCACATGTAGGAGTGAGCCATGGGGGAATCTGGGGGAGAGCCTTCCAGACGGAATAAAGAGACATGCAAAGGCCCTGGGGCAGGACCAAGCTTGGAGTGGGGCAGAGGGGTCAGTGTGCCTGGTGGCCGTGGGTAAGGAGGGAGGGACACAGGAGACTGCGGTGGTCAGCAGGGAAAGTGTTGGAAGGGAAATCACCAAAAAAGAACCCTCTTTTTGGTGTCCCCCAGGCTGTGTTCCCCACACATGGCCTACAGCTTGGCATACAGCAGGTACTCCTGGGTGTTTGCCAGACCTAAGAGCATTTCTGCCGTTTGTCCCAAAGCCTCTCACTACTTTGAAGGAACGGGATGGGGAAAAGGGGAAACTGATCAATCGGCCCATCCTCTAAGCCCCAGGCCTGAGAAATGCATGTTCTGTTGCAAAGAGATACAATGCATCATCCATCACTGCATTGTTGCATCCAGGGTCCTGCTTTGGGTCCACAACAGAGAAGCTCGCTTGGGTAAACACCTCCCAGGCAGGACCCGTTTCCGTGCTCTCAGTGGTCTGCCAGTCCCGATGCTTCCCACGGCTGGAGCCAGGGCTGAAACCGAACAGCCTTGTTCCTGTGGCCAGCGGTCACCAGAGCACACTCTGCCCCGGGTCAGACAGCTCGTGTCCCAGGGCTCCGAGACCTCCAGAGTGAGCTGTTCTGGTTTCCTCAGCAACACCGTGACCCTTTGCCCTAGACCAGTCTGGCGTCTCTCCCAACCCCGGGGAGGGTTTACTAGGAACTGGATCAGAGTGTGGTGTAGTGGATTGATAACTGGTGGTCAACTTATAACCCCCAGCTGAACTGAGTAACTGCAGTGCTGGGTGTGGGAGGCCCACCTGGGGACTGTTGCCAGCAGCATAAGAGGCAGAACTGGAGAAGGAGAAGGAGGTTGTTGGGAGCTGAGAAAGGCTGCTGGGAGCTGGTGGAAGCTGTAAGCTGTTGGCTGTTTTGGAGGAGCTTGTCATGCTGGCTTTCCTGATGAACTTGGCTGTTTTCACCCTCCGAGGAGCTCGGGACTTCGTTGGCATTGAGAGTGGTTTTGGTTCACTTTGGTGGAGCTCTGGTCCTCACTTTAAGCATCGCTTCCTGGCTCCGGAGGGGAAGATGGTGCACAGCTCAGTCTCTTGAAGAAGCTTGCTGTGTTGGCTTTCTTGATGGGCACTTGGCCATCTTGATCATCAGAAGAGCTTAGGACCTCACTGTTGCTGAGGATGGCTGTGGTGCCTTCCGGGGGAGGTGTAGTTCTTCTGAGCATGGCTTCCTGGCTCCAGTGCAGATCTCTCAGCCTGCTAGCACAGATCCTTCATCCCGCTGGCACAGACTTCCTAGATTCCACCACTGACCTTTCCAGCGCAGATCCATGAAAGAGGCTTGCATTAGACATTGTCATGGGCTCTGGGCCTCCAGTTGCATTCGTGGGAGGCATTGTTATGAGCTCTAGGTCTTCAGCTGGACTCATGCAGGACATTATCATGAGATCCAGGCCCTCAGCTGGATTCCTGGTCTATAGTGTGTGGACAGATTTCCTGCACTCTTTTGTAATATCATTGTTTAGGTGACTATTATAAATAATCTTATAAAATATGTGTCCTGTATTACATTGTTTTCCCTTGCAAAAATAAGCAGCAAACCATAACATACGAAGTCGATGGTCCTGAGCTAAGATCTGGACCAGAGTTGGTCCAGGAAGATCTCAGGGTGTTGCTGAGTATTGAAAGCATTTTCTTGTTGTGTTGTGTTTTTTGAGACCCCATCTTGCTTTGTAGTTCAGGCTGGTCTTGAACTTTCAGTGATCCTCCTGCCTCAGCCTCCCAAGTGCTGGGGTTCCAGGTGTGCACCACCACGCCTAGTGAGAGTTTTCCGGTTTGGCCAGAGGCTCCATCACTTCTCTGTCTTTTCCTCTGCAGGTTCTGATGCCAGCACCATTGAAATCCACACTGCAAGTGGGTCCCACAGTGGAAATGCCTTGGATGCTGTCCCCCAAGCTCAGGGAGACCTGTGAGTGGGTATGACCTGCTCCAGACCCATGGTCCTCACACTCTGGCCCCACCACGTTCCAGCATCTGGCGTTCCTCCTTAATGGTTGCACGCAGGAGCTCCAGCAGGCGTGTGGTGATAAGAATCCCTTCTTCCTGCCTCCACAGCTCTTCTGAAGCTGGGTGTAACATTCAGTGGAAGATCCACCTTCTTGGAAAAGGAGTTAAATAAAGTCATCGTGGTTGCTGCAGGCTGACTTGCTGTCTGTCCCAGTGCAACAGCTCATTCTTGTGTGAGGCAGCATGGTGGAGCAGTGCCTCTCGCACCCAGCAGGGGGCAGCACAACCTGGCTCCCAGGTGCAGCCTTGGGTCCCTTAGGCTGTGTCTGCCCTATCCCAGGAGCTGACCTAGCTTGGGTCTTTGGTGTTATCGCCACTGTTCAGTTCACTGAGATCATCTGTTATTGCACACACTCTCATATACAGCGTTTGTCCTTTTTTACAGAAACATTGCAGTGTGTATGAGGGCTACAGGTCACCCGGGTGTGTGTATAGAAAAGTGAGGTGCAGCTCTACGCTGTGACACCCCCCTCCCTCCCTTTCTAGAGTAGGGCTCCCTTTCATTCCCAAAACACTTTCCAAGAAGCTCTGGCTTGTACTTTGGAGTCACAAAGCTGCAAGTTGCCTTGGGCTGTCCTGACAGCCAAGGAGGAGGTGCTACTTTCTCCTTGCATGGAACAGACCACAGGTGCCTGGGTCAGAGGCACTGGCGAGATGGGAAAGAGTCTGATTGCTGAGGGGGCAATTGTGTTGTCTAGGGAGGGGGTCCTGGGCATGTGTGCATGCTATGTCACCAGCCCCTTGTAGTTTTTGAGACCAGGACTCACTTAACTACACAGGCTAGACTCAAATCTGTGACCCTCTTGCCTCATCCTCCCCTGTATCTGGGATTACAGGCATGTACCACTCCACATGGTTAGCAACTACATTCCTAAGCAAGGTAGCAGGGTTCTTTCTGCCTCTGGCCTCACAGGCTCCTCCTCTGAAAAATTCATTCTGGAAGCACAGAGGTGAGCCGCTGGCTCTGCCAGCCTCCCTTGCAGCTAGAGATAGGCAGAGGATTGGGCCAAGCCAATCAGACAGGACTTCAAGCTGGAGTCACAAGCTGGTGCCCAAGGGACCAGGTTTTGGTCGCCTCTGTAAAGCGTGCTGGCAGCAGACAGGTCTGCTCTGGGGGTGGCATGGGGTAGGCATCTGGGGTAGGTGTTGTCCAGGGTCAGGGCATGGGCAGCTGTGCCCGTGGTCTTCAGGAACCAGCCCTGTAGTTGATCTTGGCCGTTTCTGTAGGCGTGGGTTCTGGCAAGCTTCTCCAGAGTCTCAGAGCTGCCTGATGTCCTGCATTCTTTCTGGCTACCGCTGGTGAGTCAGGTTCTGAAGCCTGCAAGTAAGAACCCCAGTCAGCTTGTGTCTGGTTTGAACCACTGTGTGGTTGGGGCTCAGGCCTCTCAGATAGCATCTGTGGAGTTTTACTTGATTGGCCAGTCTAGCAGTCAATTTATTCACACTATAGAAAACTTCCTACAGCTGACTTCTTTCCCTAATTTCACAGGAAGTTATCACCATGGCCTACAATTGTGTGGCTATAATAGTATGCATCTACTCCATTTTCCTAATTTTTTTTTGAACCAGGAATTGAACTCAGGACCTTGTGCTTGCTAGGCAGGTTTGTGCCCCTGAGCTATATCCCCAGCCCAAACAGTGCTCCATGCTTTGCAATTTTTTGTATGTGTGTGGGTACTGGGAATTGAACTCAGGACCTTGCACTTGTCAGGCAGACACTGTGCCACTGAGCTATCTCCCCCGCCCCTTGTACTTTTCAGTTTTAACTGTGCTGTGAACTTGTGTGTGTCTGTGTGTGTGTGTGTGTGTTTTGTGTCATCAAACTCAGGACTTTCCACTTGCCAGGCAGGCACTTGTGCCACTGAGCTAGATCCCCAAACCCCTCAGCTGTTTTTCTGTGGAGTATTTATATGACTTTTTGCTTGAGGATTACTCCATTCCTAACCAAAGTCTTTTTGCTAATGTATTCATCAGGCTCTGAACTCACTGTGTAGCCCAAGCTTGCCTCCAACTCTTGGTGATCCTCTTGCCTCAGCCTCCTGAGTGCTGGGATGACAGATGTGTACCACCACGCCTGGTTGAACTTCACATTTTAGCAGATCAGCCCTACAAATCCCATTCTCTGTGTGCTCCTGGCTGGCATCAGCCGTTCCGACCCTGTTGCCCAGTGGAACTGTGTTCTACCCTTGCTTACCTTGCTGTGGACAAGACAGTTCCAGGAGAGGATGAATCTGTCCAGTCAGATCTGGAGTCTCCCCAGCACATTGGTCTATGTCCCGCCTCCCAGCCCACCCACTCTGCAAAGTGGCTCTCTGCTTTTCATCCATAGGATCCAATCACTTGTAATCAACAGACAGCATGCACAGGTGAACAAAGAGCTGTATTGGACAGACAGACAGACAGACAGAGATTAGAGCCATAAGCTTCCTCCACAGAGGACCGAAATATGTATAAAGTCACATCACCTGCATTGTGGGTGTAGCCACCAGATCCATGTCACAGCCATGCTTCTGCGTCCTTGCGTCCCGGGCACACTGCTGTGCGTTCTGCTGCCAGCTCACCTCCCGCTCAAGGGTCTGTCTAGAGGCTTGCTGTGGCTTCTGAAGTAGGCTTGGGGTGCTTAAAACCGCACCCCAAATGCGCCATCTGGGAACATGCACGGTCCACTTGGCTGGGGCGGGGGGTGGTAAAAAAAAGAAAAACCCAAACAAGCAGGCACAGACAACACCAGAAATAGTTTTCTCCTTACAGCGACAAGTGTTATAGAACAGTCTGAAGTTGCCAGTTCAAGACCATGTGTCAGCCTCACGTGTCCTGTGTGTACTATCGCTCAACGGCACGTCTTCTCTTGTGTGTGATTTCACTTTGCTCCTCCATCGTGGCCCCTGAGGAGCAACAGCCTGTTCTCTCTCTTCCCTCCCTCCCTCCCTCCCTCCTTTCCTTCCCTCTCTCTCCCTTTCTGTCTGTCTCTTCCATAGAGCCTAGGTGTGCAGCAGGCAACGCCATCTAGGTTTGCGGAAGCTCAGTGCTGCTCACCTGACCACGCTGGCTACCAAAACACACCTCAGGATGCTTCTGTCATTAAACTCCTCGAGTGTGTTTGCAACGTGGCCTCTGTTGTAGCCCGAGCCACACGGGAAAAGTGCACAGGGTTCCCGGCTACTTCCCAGGCAATTATGCACACAGCCCAGAAGTACAGGGATGGACCCCAGCCCCCTGCTCTGTCCCAGTGCGAGAAAAGAATAATCAAAGGGGTCCGCACCGTGACTTCTTGTAAAGCTTTCAGCCCAGCACGAAGGCCTTGCTGGCCTACCTGTCCCTTCTTCATCCACATGGAGGGACATAGTACACATCAATGAATTAACCCAGTACAAGTGGAAACGTGGTAGATCGGGCGCAGAGCAAACGTGCAGAAACATCTGCCAACCAGATGATTGCACTGTGGACGCTTCAGTGTCCAGGACATCCTGTTCTGTCGAGAACCTAGGTTGAAATTATTCAGGGCTAATCCTCGAACTCAAGGTCTCAGCAAATCAAGCCGCTACCATGCAAAAATGCATTTGCTTTGCCTTTTAAAAGACGAACTAAAACCATCAAAAGGGGATATACTAAAACACAGGCTCCCTGTAGGTAATGACCTTCTAGAATAACCAGGGGCTGCTGTGAATGTCTGTGTGGATTCCACGTGACAGGACGGCCGCCATTTTGGGTCATAACTATCACGCCTGATGCACAATAACCCCAGTCGGTTTGTCTTGGGTAGGTTCCCTCCAAAACACAAGACAAAGCCACCAGCATGACCCTGGCTACAGGAATGTGCCTGACTCTTTGATATTAGCTTGAGATAAACCAGGTACATTCCAGCTGGGATGAAGTCACTTGTGTTCTACTCTGTTCATATATCCCTGTTTTTGATCCTAACTGCAGGGACCCAACTGGGTCTCTTCATTGTGCAGGGCCACCTACCCATGGGTAAGTCTCTGTGCAACCCCAGATCTGCCTGCTTCTTTCTTTGGATTCACGAGACTGGAGCCCATCCTCATGTAAGTTTGTCGCTTCATGACATCCACTGCCTTCTCCCCAGTTTATAACAGAGCAGTCCTGCATTGAGTCACACTGGCTGTTTTTGCCCTGAAAAAATGCAGAGTTCTGTCTTCACTCGCCAGCACTGACACGGGCCCAGGAACTACAGAGGAAGATGAAAAAACAAAACAAAACAAAACACAGCCACCAAGTTCTCTAATATCAAAATAGAGCAATTTATTCAAGACACTGAATATGATCTGTTGATTCTCTCTGGAAACAAACGAGCTACGACACACGAGGTGATTTTTTTTTTTTCCAAGAGCGTGAGGGATGAGTGGGGGGTGGGGATACAGAACAAAAGGGGGGGCAGGGCGACGCTGCTGAACAGAATCTGGGGAATGCTGACGGAGAACCACGTCTGGCTGTATGTCTGACACAGACAATAAAAACCGCAGAAGCCAGAATTCAAACCTTCAGTGAGTGGCAGAAGAAACATTTCTGTATTTGACAAGAAACACAATGGAAAAAAATAAAAAAGGTGGAACGAGAGGTTTAAAAAGAGAAATAACAAGGGACAAAGCAGATCCTTACATTGGACAAAGTGCACTTGACTTGGCTCCGTGATCTATGAGAAAGACAGAACGAAAGGTCAAGTCCTACGGCGGGCATCAGTACTGCGGGCTCGGAATGCTGAACCCTGTAGCGTCCCTGTGGCCCTTGCAGTCCCCCGCGGGGCAGCCTCCCTTTCCCAGGCATGTGCTGGACATGGCTTGTGGTCACTCATGTCTGCTTGCAAGGTTACATTTGGTCACTAAGACTGAAGCATCCCTCACGATCCCGTCAGAGCTGTGGACAATGTCGGGCAACGCAACACACCCGGGCCCTTCACTTCGGAGCTGAACGTGCTGGCTCCGGTGACCGGCGGTGCGCCGGCGTGGCAGCTCCACACACAGCCGGCAGTCGTGTCATTTTGCTGAGAGCAGGGTGCACTTCTGAAGCGTGAGCAGCAGCATTCTCCGGCTTGGTCCGCCTCTGACCCGTGGTCTGCTGTGCTGATGGATGGGGGGGACGTGCTGGACCTCTTTGTACGGGAAGAGCCTGTTTGCCAGTGCTCACCGTAGCGGGTGCCAACCTCCAGTGCTGACGAGGTGGCGGTCTTGCTTGCCTCAGGTGTGAGACCCCGGCTCTGGAACCAGGCCTAGATTGTCTAGTGAATCCTTTATCCGCATCCCCCTCCCCGTCCCATGGCAGATCCGCGCAAGCCGTATCCGGACAATGGGCTGACAGCTGACAGCTAATGCTCGGTGGAGAAGAACGTGTATTTATTTGAGGCACGCTAAAGATGGTGATCCTTGGGACCCCGAAGCCTGCATCCGAACTGACACATCCACCTGCTGAGTTCGAAAATGGGACCCGTGACTTCACAGCACTTTGGCTTTCTTTGTTGAGTGCTTTTGCATGACGGAGCGCAGATACAATACTCCGCTAGAAAACACGGCCCTTTCTGGTCTGCTTGCGCTGCAGTCACTTCACAGGTCCCAGTAGAGTGCCTGGCGCTCGCTGGCTTGCCTGGCTGGTTCCGTACATCCTGAGTGGGAGGAGGCCCTGGCCCATTTCCGGCTCTGTGCATGGACACCACTCTCTGAATAACACCCTGCCTCAGGTGCACAGTGCAGCCCACACCCGGGGCCCCTCCTCAGCTCTCAGGAGAGGCCTGGCTTCCCAGTCTGCTCCTCCGCAACGCACGGTAGGGCGAGGGCCACGCTGTAATGAAAGACGTACAAAGATCACCAGATCCAGCGAAAGCAAACCGTCCCAGGGACAAAAAGCTGTGTTTAATTTTTAAAGAGTAGTAAAAGGATTCATCATTAAAAAAAAAAACAAGAGAAAAACTCTCTCCTTGTCTCCGCTGAGAGAAAGAAACAATAAAGCCGGCAGAAGGGGTGGGTGATGTTATACCTATGGAATAATTCATCTTCGGGGCTGAACTCTTCCTCCAGTGTTCATGTTTTGTCAGCAGATGGGGGGACCCTCTGGAGCCATCAGGTGAGCCTTGCAAGGACCCACTGGGCATGTTCTTGGTGGCGGGCCCTGGGCCGTCGCACTGCTCAGGGAAATGCATGAAAGGACCACACCGTCGCTGCGGATGGCCTCTTCCTCCTGGCCACCGGCCACCTTCCACACCACTGGAGGGAAAGGGTAAGCTAACCTGTGACTCTGCCTGTATCTTCTGAAATGTCTGTGTTTTTAAAATATGAATCACACAAAGCTCTCTATGTCTGATGGCCATTTCGGGATTTTTAAAATTGCTTTTAACATAAAAATATTTTTTTTTTCTCCAAAAATACTCCAGGCTCTTTCTCTTATAAGTCATTTTTTTTTCTCCTGTAAAAATTCCCCCTCCCCGCTTTCTTACATAAAGCACTTATAATGCGCCCAAAGTGTCCCTTGTGACCTCAGAGGTGAAGCAGCTACGAGGAAGGGTCAGGAGTGTGAGCAGGCGGGGAGGGGCGAGAGGAGAGGGAGGGAAAAAGCTGTCCGTCTACGGTTTAGGTCACCATGTCCACGTGGGTACGTCCACGGAGGGTGGCGTGAAGGACAAGACCACACCAGACCAAAAAAACAGCACAGGGGGTAGGGAGTAATCACAACGGTGGGGTGGGGTGGGGTGGGGGGGACAAACAACAAACCCAAAACAGTTTCTATCTCAAACCAAAGCCCGCAGATGACAGAATTCCAGCGCATAGAAAAACCACTGAACAAAGAAGGTTCTAGAAAATAGCAAGTGTTGGGATTACAAAGTTGCGTGTTTCATGGGTACAGACTGGTCTTTGAACACACCCTTTGAGAGAGGCAACTGTAGTGTCCAGATTGGTGGGGGGCGGGGCATATCACAAGGAGGAGGTGTTCTTTCTTCTTGTGGTTTATCACAGCATTTTACTTTTTTTTTTTTTTTTCCTTTTTCCTTTTTTGGCACAGCTTTGCCTGCATTCAGCCGTCAGAGCCTGCTGTGGATGGAAAGCAAGCCGCTGGTGGCTTCATCCTTCCCTGGCGGAATGTCCTAGGTGGAGACCCTTCTCCCCCCCCCTTGATATGACTGTGTGTATGCTTTTGGATTTGCTTGGTTTTTAAACTTCTGGATGAAGATTACAAAAAAAAAAAAAAAAAAAAAAAAAAACAGATTCCTGTGGCCAGGGATGAGCTGATGTCAAAGCACACTCTAACACAAGTCACATTCGTACAGTTTTGGAGCAGAGTGTTGGAAGAGTCCTGCAACCCCACGCATCCACTGCTGGTCCGTTAGAATTCTTTTTACTCTTTATAATATTTTGTGTTTACTTCCGCAGATCTAAAACACACACCTGGAAGGAAAGGTGAAAGCCCTGTTACCTTGAGGAACACCACGAGATGCCTTCAGAACGAACACAGGACGGCATAACTATGGCCCTGGAACCACACCTGGGACAGCCATGGATGTATTTATGAATAAAGTTTTATTGGGATGGTCACAAGGGCTGGAGACTCTCTAGGAACCGGCCAGTTTATGAGCATCTGACCCATCACATTCAGGCAAATGGCACAGAGCTGGAAAGCCGGGTCAAAAAAAACTACCAAACCTCCTGGATGACCCACTGGGGCAGAACAGGGCTCATGGGGACTCACGCTGAGGAGATAAAATGCCTCCGGGTTTGTTTAATGTGACTTGAGGGCAGAGCCTTCTGGAAGGGGCATTAGAGAAGGCTATTCCAGACCTGTGTTGACAGGTTTCCTCTATATGACCTGCACTGGCTGGGCGCCTGCTGTGTATGATACAACTCGGGCACCAGCTGCTTGCGTGTGTCTGTCCCCTGCCCTCTGTCACTGTCCCTGTCCCTGCCAAACAAGGGCGCTACTTACAGAGCCATCGGATGCGCTGGCACCCACTTTGTCTCCTCGAGCATTCCAGCATACTTCGAAGATGCCACCTGTGCCTCGGTAGCTGTGGACCAGACTTCCACTCTGCAAAGCAAAGTGATCGTCACTTGTGGTGCCAGGGGCTCCTGAGAGCTGGGGTGTGCACTGGGCTTCCTCCCCACACTCTATATTTGACCAAAGAAACTTTCAAGCACAAAATTGGAAGAATTTCCAGTATAGTGGCCGTGGCCCGTGACTACCCAACTTCAGCTCGGCAGAGGGGAGCTCAACCGAAGCCATCCACAGAAACAGTACCATGTCTCAGCCTGGGCCGTGGCTGATGTCATTCAAGGACCGAGGGCACCAGGCAGCCTCAGAGAAGTGGTCCGTGAGATGCATCCTCGGCTGATGGGGAACTTTGGCTCACGGGTTCCCTGTTGGCCTTTTTTTGTTTTGTTTTGTTTTTCTCTGGTACCGGGAACCGAACTCATGACCTTGTGCTTGCCAGGCAGGCGCTTTGCCGCTGAGCTAAATCCCCAGCCCCGCTGTTGGCCTTTTTCTTGGGGTGTTGGACGTCGGACTCAGGGCCTTGTGCCTGCCAGGTGAGTGTTCCCTCCTGGTTTTGCTAAGGCTTTCTTAGACATGCACAGCCCTCTGGGACTCTTCTGTTGCCAGAGATGCCCAGCACAATGGCTCACGTACTCTCCCTCTGCCTCTTCCCAGTCCCCAGAGAAAGGACAGACTAGCACATGACCTTTTCATCTGACAGTCCCCATATTCCTTCCCTCCCACACTGGCTCCATGGCGGTGCTGACGCAGTTGGTGGGTCCCCTGGAAAGCTTAGGAGAAGGAACACACCCCCACACTCCAGCGGGCAGTACTTCCAGAGAGAACACAGTGGGGCCACGCTTTCACCAGGGCACGAGGCAGGCTCCAGGCCACCAGGGACTCAGAAAAAGCCAAGAGAAGATGGTGACTCCTCCCAGAACAGTCCCTGCAGACAGCACTCAGCCAGGGAGCTTGGCCCGCCCTCCAGCAACTCAGCCCTGAGCCTGAGTTCCCTGCCGGGCCAGGGCCCACACGGCACTCAGACATGTTTTCCCAGAGAACTCAACCGCAGGGATGGAGAGGATACCTGGGTGTTCCAGATGTGCACACACTTATCGAAGGAGCCACTGGCCAAATACTTTCCATCAGGGCTGAACGCTACACTGTAGACAGGTTCCTGATGCTTGGTTAGCGTGTGGACACAAATGCCCCGCTCCACATCCCACAGCCGAACCGTAGAATCAAACGAAGCACTGGGAAGGTGGCAGAAAAAGCACACACACGGAGGCACGCTGTTTTAAAACATTCTCTGCAGTGCAGACCCGATCGCACAGGAGTTTTCTTTTTTAATGCTCCCTGGCCATTACGTTTCAATTCACAGAAACTCATGAGCCTTTTTTCTTCTGAAACAAACTTGCATGCATGGAAAAACAAAGCTACAGTCATGAAACAAAAAAAATAATAATTTTTGCTGCTGTTATTGGGGAAATAAAAGGATACCCATATTCATCTATTTCTTCATTTTCTATCCTTATGAATGAGAAATACTTCCGCGGAACACTTAGGTTTTCTAATGCACTCCTGCAAGTTATAACCCACACCTATTTTAGCAACTACATAAATGTGTCTAGCTATAATCAGAAAAAACTCCCAGCAAACTAAGAAGATACACATTTAAGAGAAATTCTAACCCAAGAGGAATTAATACACAACTACATCCGCCTACAATAGTACACTGGGCAAGTGCTGCAAATGTTATCTTTGGCACGAGAGGTCCCTTTTATACTTGGTGACAATAGGATAATTTATGCTGCTAATGAGTGCCATGTGACACAGAAGTACCCTCCTAGACCTCAAAAAATGATTAGAGTGTGTAAGACTGTGCCATTGCAATTTAAGTGGATTTTAGGACAATTACTAGACATAGGAGAATTTCGGCCTTTGGGTTATCCTGGTTCAGCTACTTGGCTGATGCCTGAATTCCTTCCCATTGCATCTATAACAACTACCCTCACTGCCGTCCATCCGCTGCCTGCCTGTCACCTTTCCCACAATCCCCTGCTCTGGAACTACCCAGAATAACCCCCACCATGCTTCCTGGTAACCAAATATCCCTCCCACATCTTTCCTTCTTCAGGTTAAACAAACATCTACATTCCATGGAGCCAAACCCCAATGATCCTCAGCATGGTGTCGAGACTATATTGTTTCATGGCTTCAGGTCTCATAATCTTCTTACAAAAGTACCAAAGGTAGGGCTGGGGGTGGGGCTTATTGGCTGGGCTCTTGCTCAGCAAGGGCTCAAGCCCCGCTACTGCGAGACGTGAATAAAACAAAACCCAGAGTGGAATGCTGTGTTCCTGGGGACCGGATGTGCATTAGGATGCAACGATTCTGTCACCTGAGCAAAGGTGACGTGTTTTGGGGCGGCCACCTCTGTCTTTGATGACCACTCTTCCCAGTTCTCCTGTGACTGACTGGCTGCCCCACTCTTCAGCTGGTGTCTTGGTGGGTTCATCATACAAAAGATCAAGCCAGATCTGGTTGGAGTTGGGGGACCTTATCTAAATCCTCACGGCCAACAGCTCTGAGATCAGCTCCATAAACCAAGCCCAAGGTCCCAGCTAACCTCTTCCGGTTTCCCTGTCTTAACAAAAAGCAAAGGGTTTGAAGCCTGGAGCCGGAACACACCCGTCGTACTGGCCTCCCAGTTAACACGATCCTTGCCTCAAACTGACCCAGCCATCCCCTCCTATCAGCCTATTCCACACCGGCAGATGCAGCCAGCTGCAGATCGTAAAAACCCAAGAGAACCGGGGTGCCGCTCAGTGGTGGAGCGCTTGCCTAGCATGCACCAGGCCCTGGCTGTCATCCCTGGCACCAGAAAACAAGCAAGCAAGCGATCAAGCAAACAAAAACACCACCATAAAAAAGAATTGGCGAGAACCGGGTCTACATCGAACACACAGACATTCTGTCAGGCCTGAAACAACACAGTGTGACAACTACACACACTGACATTGTGCAGGCACGGAAGTCACCTAGAGAGGACTTTGACTATAAAGCGCACAGGTTCCATGCACATTCCAGGCCATTTCACACCAGGGCTGAGCTCCCTGTGTCTTGTTATCCTGGGCAGCCGCTGCAACCACTACCGCGAAGACGCAGGGCTGACACCGTTTCCATGCGGCTGGCCCCTCTCCGGTGATGCACCAGTCTGTGTAGTTTGGGATGATTTTAACCCTCTGACAACACCCGCCAGGAGCTTTTCTGCTCTTGGCATATGAGCTGTTTTCCTGCCCTGGCAGCTAGCCTGATGGCAGGCAGCAGAGCTGAGAGTCAGGGGCCCCCGCCCGTCCCTCCTTTACCTCGCTAACATGATGTTGGCGCTGGGGTTGCTGGTGGCGGGCCCCGTGGGGCTCCACTTGATGGTGTAGATCTCTTTGCTGTGAGCTTGAAGATCGTGCACACAGGTGTCCTGCTTCATACTCCAGATCTAGAGGAAGCATTGGGGGTGAAATGAGCAAGGCTGACCCCTGCGAGATGCCCAGCAGCCGACCTGCGGGTGTCAGCCAGGCCAATCAGCCGCCGGCTGCCCAGAAAGGGACTTACCTTCAATGTCATGTCATCAGAGCAGGACGCTAGTAACATTCCGGAAGGATCCCATTTGATGGCATTGACCTCATTCTGCAAGACAGCGAACAGTTTTAAGAGAACCAAACTGATTTATTTCACTAACGAGTATGGTCTCTAGCTGCATCCATTTACCTATAAAAGCCTCTAGTTTATGTTTCTTTATAGCTGAGTAATACTCTGCTGTATAAAAATACCACATCTTTTTTTTATCCACTCTGAGCAACTTGAGGTCACATATCATTCATGCTGTTTTTGTGTTGGTCTGATTTTGTCTTCATTGTTGTTTGGTCAGTTGTTTCATTTTTCAAATAAAAAAAAAAAAAGAGAGAGAACCAAACGCTGAGTCATCGCTATGGCAGCTACCGTCCACCAGAGGGCATCAGAGCTCTGTCAGCGCCGTCACAGCTTCCAGGATTTACCCTGGATATCAAGAACGCAACGTACAAGCTTGTATTTTTTCTTTTTCTCACTTTGCCTTTTCACTTATATAAGAGCATAGCGTCTACCACCATATAATCAGCCATGCTCATCCACATTTAAGGAAGAATCTCTCTACGAGGAAAGAAGCTGAATGAAGAATTCACCTACAAAAAGCACAGTAAATAAAAAGAAGCCGCAGTCACTGCGAGCCCCGGACTTTGACCATGATGTCTCCGTGCGCTTTAACGCAACAGCTGCCGCTCTGTCTAAATCCTGCTGCACATCTGTCTGCATGTTTGGGGGACAGGGAAGCAAACACAGAGAAGTGCAAAAGACAGGGTTAGGAGGACTCAGCCAGGGGATGGAAGCGACCACAGCCGGGGAGACAGGAGCAGAACTCTCAGCCAGAGAAGGGCAGAGGCAGGGACGCTGGGCTCCCAGGCTCCGCAGGGAGACACTGTGGGGTGGTGGGCCACGGAGCGGGGGACCGAGTTTCTAAAGGACCACTGCAGCCCGGGGTCCTGTGGTGGGGACACGGTGTGAGGTGACCCAAGAAGGCTCGTGCCTGGGTGTGTGTGTACATGTGTGTGTGTGCCCGTGCATGTACCGGTGACAGAGCCCGACCGCCAGGACAATGCCCCCTATGTTGTTCCTGCTGTCTTGGCCTAAGGAATCACTGCACACGCAGAAATCACCTTCTGGATAACGTCATGCTCCCAGAAGCTCCGGCGTGACACATGAGACGGTCACGCTTCTTTCTAGGGACACTGAGATCCGAAGGGTGTGAAGCAGAGGAATGACAAAGCCACACCTGTGTTCCACGTGGCACAGCCGGCTGGGCATCTTGAAAAGCCACGGGGACCAGGCGGCCAGAAGCGCCTCGGGCTGTGGGGCCTGTGTTAGTCACTTCACTGGTACAACTGTGGCTCTTTTTTGCTCCACCTCCTCTGCCCTGTGGCCACTCCCCCATGAAATGGTAGCCACCCCAAGGCCAAGAGTGAGGCACCCCAACAGGAAGCAGTAGAGAGGGTGGGTCTGCAGGACCTCTGCATGTGGCCTTGGAAGATACGGGGGAAGCAGGGTTTGGAAGATACGCCAAGGTTGCGGCTGAAGGTGGGGGGCATTTCCCACAGGGCTGGGAAGGTATGAGGTCCTCACTGGGGTTTCTGGAGACTGAGGACAGACCTGGCAGCTATAGGGAAGCTGACAAGTCAATGGTGGATCATACTATTGCTCCCCAGGGGTGCTTTCATGATTTTTGTCTTTAGTTCTGGTGTCTGGTGACCATGTGCCTAGGGCTCCAAGTGTGATTCTCTATATTCTTCTGCTTGGGGGCTTGCTGAGCCTCCTGGATTGAGTGTTGATGCTTTTCATAGCAGGAAGACTTGCCTGTGATTGGTTTAAATACGTTTTCTGTCCCATTACCTTTTTTTCTTTCCCCATTCCACAGACCTGGAGTACACGAACTGTCCCACAGACTTTGACACCATTATTCATTTTTGCAATTGTTTCTGTTCTCTGAATAGGCTGATTTCTGTGATCTTCCTTTAGGTGCGCTAACTTTACTTCTGTAATCTCCAACATGCTGTTAAACTCATCCACTAAGACTTTTATTCCAGACCTTATTCATCGAGTTCTCAACCTTCTTCTGTTCTGTAAAAACATGGACTTTCATTCTCTACGGACATGTCTCATCTATTTGGTTATTATGAGCACCTTTTCCTTTATGTCCTCACACATTCTGATAGCTGCTTTAAAGTCTGCTCTGGGTCAGGCCAGGGTCTGTTTTTCTCATTTGCTACCCACAGTGAGGTGGACCCAACCCCCTGCAGCAGCTACAACAGCCCCAGCAAGTAAGGGCTGAAGAGTAACAGCTCCGTCGTCAACATGCCTTTTAATTCTAGGTATAAAGAAACATCCGGGGGCTGGGGGTTTAGCTCAGCGGCAAAGCGCCTGCCTGGCAAGTGCAAGGTCGTGAGTTCGGTTCCCGGTACCAGAGAAAAACCAAAACCAAAAAAAAAAAAGAAACATCCGCCACATCACACGTTATGGTTTGTATCTGCATGTCCTCCCAAATCCTCATGCAGTCATCGGGCTGCCTTCTATTCCAGATTTTTGATTGATACATAGTCCACTGCTGGGATTATGGGTGTAAGTGCTATACCCATCCTGGGGCAGGTAGTTCGCCCACAATGTAAGGGAGGGAAACAAGCTGCTTGCCTCCACTCCTATGTTTTGCTCTTATTGCTTTACTGTTTTCTGTTGCCACGAACTGCTGCCCTCTGCCATGTGCCACTCTGCCTTGGAACCAGCTGAATACGGACCGAAACCTCCACAAACTAAGATAGGTAAACCTTTCCTTCCTTAACTTTGGGTGTCAGGTATTTTGTCTCAGCCATGAGAGAAAAGTAACCAAGATAACACACAAACAAATTTATGTCCAATGGTCAGGACACCCACTTACCGTGTGTCCTTGGAAGGTTTTCACTGGGCGGTCACAGCCGAGTCTGCACACATGAATACACATATCCGTGCTACAGGAAGCGAAAGTCGTGTTGTTCTGCCAGTCCACATCGAGAGCCGGGGCTGCAGGCAGGGCAGAGGGAGGACAGTGGTTCTCTCTCACTGTGCACAGCTCATGTGAGTTGGAAAATTAAAACATAACCAACAAGCCTGCCCTAGTAGTAACACAATCAAGAGCACTTCCAACATGAGCAAACACAGGTTCTTTCCTTCAAGGACCTGAAAGGTTCTCTCCTTCCAATTTGCAGGGACAACAAGCTGCCTCTGGAAAGAGACCGTGGGCCATCTCCTGACCTCCAGCGTGCACTGTGAGACTGGTTTCCACTGTAAGGGCCAGAAAGGGAGGCCACAAGCATGGCGCTGCCTACTTGTGCCCCTTGGGTCACTGGGTTTATTTTAAGACAGGGCAGAGCAAAAAGGAGAGGGAGAAGACTGCATAGTCTATGTTTAGGATACTTCGATGGAACAAATCTGCCATGTACTAATGCCTCCCATGGTTTGGTGGGTAACTGGTCTCCCGACAGTCCCCTGCACACAGTGGTAGGTGGTGGTGTACAGCACAGGACTGGGAAGAACATCCTTCTCCTCCCTAGCTCCTGGGCGTTCCTTGTCTCCGCCACCAAGCACCTCTCATCCCTGCCTTCTCCGGACACTTGCCTACTTCCTGTTTCCGAGTGTGGTTCTTTATAGTGATAGGAAGACCACCAGCAAAAGGGATGGCAAAGCTCCTTGATTTTTGCGTATCGTCCTGCTCAGGGTTCTCATCCTTGACCTTTTGGTTTATTTTCTGGACATTTACCCCCATCCCACTGCACCAAGGCAGGCCAGGGAGAGAACTAGGGAGCCAGTGAGCCCCAGGGCCCTTGACCTTATCCCTCCCTTCTTCCCAACACTAGGGCAGCTAAATAACCACTCCCGGGGTCAGCCTGTGCACCCCTATAAATGACAGCAGCAGCAGCAGCAGCAGCAGCAGCAACCTCACCTGAATGAAAAGGAAACTGCTGCTTGGCTTCTCCTGTGTGGGCATCCCAAATTATTGTCGTCTGTTCCACAAACAAAAAGAAAAGTTAGTAGCTCTTCTCACAAAGATTCCTCCGGAAAAATGTATCACGTGAGCAAAGGAATCTGCCCGTTTTCCTTCCAAATCAGCACGGTGGTGTGTGTGTCACTGGGCTTTTAAAATAAACATTAAAAACAAACAAACAAAAAACTAGTGAAGCTCACTTGAAGAATTTAGTTTACCCCAATGACAGCCAAGATACTATTGTCTCAACATGTAATTGGCATAAAAACATACATGAGGGCTGGGGATGTGGCTCAGTGGTAGTGTGCTTGCCTTGCATGCACAAGGCCCTGGGTTCAATCCCCAGAACCACAAAAAAACAAAACAAAACAACACAAAAAAACCCCAGTTTCTTTCAAGCACTGAAAAACATGGATGAGATATGTGACATTCCTTGTATTATCCCAGGTGTTACCCTTGTGTATCCAGGTATTACCCTTGTGTTATCCTTGTGTTACCCTTGACAAAAGCCACACTGACTGAGTTTGTCCAGTTACCTGTGCTGGCTGGTAGCTGCTGTATGGGACAGAATAGGTTTAACTGACACTTGGAAAAGCTACCAAAATTGGTGGGGGAGTCTCCTTCTCCCCAAACTTAGAAACCATGGGAAAAATCAGTGGTGGCGAACCTATGGTACATGTGCTGCAGCTGGCTGTTTGTTTATCATTGGAAGATCTAAAAGGTTTGCCATTTATGACCTAGACCGTTATACCCCGGTGGAAAAGTTGGCAAACTCGGTCAAGGGTGAACGAGCAAACATTTCAGGTCTTGAGGCTCATATGGTCTCTCTCACAACTGCTTAACTCTGCCATCATAATGTGAAAGTGGTCTTGGACAGTACTCAACACATGGATATGGTTCTATACCAATAAAACTTTATTTAAAAGTACAGGCAATAGGCCAGAGATTATTTGACCTGTTGGGGCCACAGTCTGCCAAACATAGCCATAACATATCCATATGTCATGTTGATGATGATGTTTAAACATGATGAGGATGTTTAGAGGTCAGGTAAGTCTATTATATGAAGTTGTGGAATTTGAATGAGCAGAAAGCTAACAAGGTGTTCAAATTATCCAGAAATCCTTACGGAAGGTCCAGCTCAGTGGCAGCCCCAAGCAATTGATGTCCAGTATTTAGTTGTTGATAATACTTCCTTTCCACAGCCATGTTTTATGAACTGGATGAAAAACATGCCCCCAAAGGCTCATATGTTGACAGGTGGGGCTTCTGGAAAGTGATTGGACCATGGGGTGCTAACCTCATCCACCCATCAATGCACTAATGAGTCATGGAGAATGGCTAGGAGTTGCAACCTTGCAGGAGGAAGGTTACCAGGGGTATGCACTGGAAGGGTGTATCTTGTCCCTGGCTCCTCCCCACTCCTCTGTGGCTCTTTCTCTTTCTCTCTGCTTACTATAAACCATGAGGTGTCAGCTCTTCTCTACCATGCCCTTCTGCCATGATATTTCTGCTTGCCCAACCAGGGACTGAACCTTCTGAAATCATAAGCCAAACTACACCTCTCCTCTTTTTCGTTGTTTTTGGTCACAGCCTGTAAAGCTGACTAACACACAGGATTTACAGCTCCTCCTGCATCCTAGGTATGACACGGGTATGGGGTATGACTCCTAGGTATGAGGTCACAACTCCAATCAGCCTGACAGCTGATAACTGAGGAAACAGGCTCAGAGAGGACGAGATGACTGGGTACGTCGGACTTGGATCTATCTTCCTACTCTTGGCCCTCCGGATGTAGGTGGATGTAAGGCCATTGCGTTTACCTGGCAGCACTGCCCAGGGACACAGCAAGGGATTCTAAAAGCACTCCAGGAGTCATCAGGGAGCCTGCCCTGGTACCTGAGTCTCAGGGAAGTCTGCTGTCTACAAGGGAAGTGGCAATTTATAAAGGAATTGCAGGAGAACACAGAGGAAAGTGGAGGGTGGGGTACAAAAAAGTGTTCATTACTTCAACGGCCCAGGGGGTGACAGATGGCTGAGTGTGCCCCACCCCAGTTTCTCCTTGCGGCCCCGAAGGTGTGTAATGTGGAGATTTTCCTTTCTATCCCTGAAAGATGTACCTTAAAAGGAAAGGGGAAAGCCTTGTACAAAGCCTATAAAGCAACGCTATATTAGGACATGCTGTGTTATAAAGGGAAGATCAAGACCTCAAAAACAAACAGAGCCCAAACAAGCCCTTTTGATATTTTCAGGGGAGGAAGAAAGCCTAAGAATTCAAAGACATCATGAGACTACAGACAAATAAGCAGCAGCTACAGATCAAAGCGATGCATTTTAAGCCGATACTCACTTTGTCTACACCAGCACTCAAAATATAATTCCCCTTTTTGTTCCACTTCAAGGCAAAGATAGGTCCTTTGTGCTGGCCTAAGGTGCTGGCCAAGTTACCTAGGAGGTAAAAACAAACAAACAAACAAACAAACACGTTGACGCTTCAGAATCACCGACTGGTCACATGCAGGGACCGCTTATCTGACCTAACACAAAGGACTCAGACTCAGGACTTACCATCTTCTGTCCAGATTCTTGCAAAACCGTCATAGGAACCTGTAGCCAGTAGAGTCCCATCGCTCTAGGGGCCATAAGGGGACACAAAACATTTCAGGATCTCTCCAGTGGAGCTACCCTGGCGAGCCCACCTTCCCGCTGCAGGGCCCCTCCCCCTCCCCCCATGGAAAGGGGCAGCTTCCTAGCACCCAGCCTGCTGCTGCCTGTCTCCAGTCTCCTTACACGAATGCTTGGAATTAGGGGCCCTGTACCAGCATGCAGGGCTGGCAGCTAACACACAGGAGCCATCTCTCCCTCCCCGCACATATAGATTTCCCCCCTACCCCAAGCACTGGGGAAGGAACTCTGAGCTGCACCCCTAGCCCTTTTAATTTTTTTTTTTTTTTGTCTTTTTGAGACAAGATCTCGCTATGCAGTTCAGGTTGGCCTTGAGCTCACTCTGTAGCCCAGGCTGGCCTCGAACTCGCAACAGTCCTCCTCCCTCGGCCTCCCAAGTGCTGGGCTTACAGGTGTGCACCACCACGCCCAGCTCCTTTTCACATTTTGAGACAGGATTTTGCTAAACTGCCCAGACTGGGCTCACACTTGCGACCATCCTGTCTCAGCCTTCCAAGTAGCTGGGATTATAGGAGTGCCCCACTGTCCTCGTGTCTGTGTGTCTCCGTGTCAGCTGGTGGAAGGTGCTCACGTTCCAGTCCAGCGAGGTGACATCCTTGTTGCTAGGGACGTCGTGGCCCCCTTCGCGGATACAGTGTCTCAGCACGAGCTGCGTGGAGGTCCCATTGCTGCTTTCACCGAGGCTCCATATTCTCGCGGTGGAGTCGCCTGATCTGCACGAGGAGACACGGCAGGTTGCGCCCTGGCGTGAGTAGCAGCAGCGGCAGACCAGCACCGGCAGAGCTCGGGGCAGCTCGCGCTTGAGCTAGGCGGGGCCTCTTCAGCATCGCGGCCTGCCCTCTCCATCCCATCAGCTCACCCTGTTCCATCCTCACCATCCCGGACAAATGCCTTTGGACGGCTGTGCATCGCACCTGTCCATGCCGGAAATAGCTCGGGACAAGGCTGGGGTCTCCACAGCACAGGACACCAGAGGCACGGGGCACACACGGGCACACGCTCCGCCACCCAGAACCCCGTAGTACCCCCGTCCTGAAATCCTCACCCAGAAGCTAGCAGGTCGCTGACAGGATTCCAGGCACAAATGAACACCTCGGACTCATGACCCCGAAGGACGGTGGCTTTGCTGGGTGGGATTTCAACTTCCCCGTCTATCTCCATGGGCTTCGAGTGGTTATCTGTCACAGAGGTGCAAACACACACACGATGATGCACTCGGGAAGAAGCCGCCTGCAGTACTGTCTGAGCAATGCCCTGCCTGTACCTTCTGGAGCACCCAGCACCAGTGCCTCTGTCAACTCTGGCTGCTTGTGTTCTTTCTGTTGTCCCAGCACTGTGGCTTGGGTGTGATTTGATCCCAGGGCTCATGTGCTGAGAGCTGAGTGTCCCACCATAGAGATGTTAAGAGACGGCAGCACCCGGAAGAGGAACGTCATTCCCAGCCCCTTCTCAGTCTGCTCAGACTTCTGGTTCCACACGCGCCCTCTCCTCTCACACGTCCCCCAGGCCATGCCCAGATGGCCGCAGCTAGCCTGAGGTTGCCTGGACTTTCGGCCTCCAAAACTGTGAGCTAAGTGACTGCACTTCCTTTATAAAGCCGTCAGCTTCGGGCGTTCCATTACAGCAACAGAACACAAAAAGTCAGGCTTCCAATTTGACTGAGGGAGTCAAGCAGTTATTTATCATTTTGAACTGGGGCAGCGGACCATGGGGGAACCTAGCTCACTGTTGCCCGTTTCTGTAGGCAGAGGCAGTGGACAGCACAGCTATGCTCGTGTTTATGCTCTGCCTATAGCTGCTATGTGGGCTGTAGAGTGTCCCCACAAGTCACACGGCGAAGTCCTGACCGCAGTACCTCAGGAAGTGATTATACGGAGACAGAGAGAAGATGCTGTCTAACACAGGACAGAGATGTCCAGAATTCTTGGACTGTATGAACAGAGACTAAAGGGGCTGCAGTCTGGGGTCTTTTTATTCTGCGCTAGGCAGATGGCCTTCATGTCCCCTGTCATAGAAACTACTGGACAGTTTGTAGGCGTTGGTCTGATGTTTGAAGCCACAGAGACAGACTTCCAGAGTTCACCTGCTTGGGCCTGTGGCTGATCCCCGGCCACAGGTCGGCTATGGGTGACAGCCGCCTCAGGGGTGCCCAGTCAGCCCTCTGCATGTGAGGAGGCCGTGAAGATGGGACAGCTGGGCTAGGGTGCCAGTGCCAGCCTTCCAGACTAGCTGCTGGGGCTGCCTGGGTGCTTGGAAGGAAATAATTTCCAAGGAAAGCACACACACACACACACACACACACACACACACACACACACGCAAAGACATATGCACCTGCTCACATGTAGGCACACCCCATGCACACAGAGACTGCACACAGTCACACACATGTACAGCATGCGTGCACGCACACACACACACACACACACACACACGTGTCTGTGTATGCTCTGAATCTAGAGCTGAAGCAGTGTGTCTTGGTTTCTGTAAAGCGTTGTGTAAAAGTAGGGCCTCGGTAGGACTTCAGGCTGACTTATTTGCCAGATACTCTTGGGCAATTACCCAACGGGGACTAATCTCCTGGGGTCTTTCGAGACCACCTAGGATGCTGCCCCGTGCCAGGCCTGCAGCTTTGACGTCATTGTGAGGTCAGCCCTTCTTCCATAGCATGGCTGACCACCCTGAGTTCCCAGCAAAAGAGCATGATTTCCTACAACCAAGGACACGTGACGAAGACCCTCGAGTCCAAGGACTGTGATGAGGAAGACGGACCATGAGGCGCTTCTGGCCACCCTGGAGGCAAACCTCACACACCACGTTAAAGACCCAGACAGCAGGTGGATCTGAAGAAGTCCTTTGGATGTGGGAGAGAACCTCGAGCCACAGGAGCTCCGCAAACCGCCCCACACTCACTCATCGCATGTGCTCCATTCTCCTCCCCGTTCACCGTGGTCTCTCCATTCTTTGGAGGGTTTTGCTGGGAAACAGCTGCCGGGGCTGGCGCGGCTGCTGTCGTTGCAGCTGTTGCTGCTGCTGCTGCCGCTGCCGCCGCCGCCGCCGCCGCCGCCGCTGCCGCCGCAGCACTAGCTTGCTGCTGAGCGAGTTTCTCTCGGAATGCCTGCTGCCGCGTCTGCACCACGTCGGGCATCACAGCGTCGATCAGGGACAAGGACTCTATGGGGCGGCCGTCAAACACCGTGCCATCCTGGGAAAGCAAGCAGGGCAGGCCGTGAGCTCTGGAAGCAGGAGGGATGCGCCCAAAGGGTGGGTGAATGCCAGGGCAGCAAGGGGGACCTGACAGTGCATAAATAGGCTGAATACATCTGAATACAGGGACATCTGAATACAACTGCATCATCCCACCACACAAAGTGCCATCCAGTATGGGCGGGGTTGCTTCCCTGATGTGGTGGCCACCACTCAGTCTAGAGCCGTTGGGCTCTACTGCCACCTAGTGGGTGGAGACCAGCGATGCTGCCTGACCCCCTGAATGTGTGATCTTCTGCATGACGCCCATGGTGCAGAGAATCACCTACTCCAAAGGCCAGGTTGAGGTGGGCCACCATTTATGTGGCAGAGGTGCTTTGCCATCACCCAGCCCAAGTTAGAGGTGAATACACCATGCAGAGCTTGATGCCTGGCACATCTGGTTTAATAAAATAAGCACTTGTTGCTACTCGAAATGACTCCCTGTATTCCAAGTGTAGATTAAACATAGCCCTTACACAACTGACAACAAATTTGCTTGGTTCTACTCAAGCTTTTAGGAAAAGAAGCACAGGCTAAAGCCAAAAGCTTGTACGAGGGAGGAAATTATAAAGATCAGAGTTGAAATTAACACATTGGAGACTTAAAAAGCAATACAAAGAATCAATGAATCAAAAAGTTGGTTCTCTGAAAATTAAATAAAATTGACAAACTCTTATCCGAATTTATCAATAAAAGGAAAGAAAAGACTCAAATCCACGTAATTAGGAACGAAAAGGCTGAAACCACAATGAACCCTGCAGGCATCCAGAAGATCACCTATACCTACTGCAAAAATCTGTATTCTAATAACATGGAAAATGCAGAAGATATGGACAGATTCCCGGATACATAGGAATTACCAAAGCTGAATCCAGAATATATAAAAGTCCTAAATAAACCAAAATCAATCAACAAAATCGATGATGTAATTAAATACATACCAACAAAGAAAAGCCCAGGCCCTGATGGATCTACTGCTGAGCTCTACAACAAATTTAGAGATGACCTAACACCACTACCTCTCAAACTCTTTAATGAAACCAAAAGGGAAGGAATACTTCCAAATACATTCCTGCAAGCAAGCATTACCCTGATACCAAAACTGGAGAAGGACCCAACTAAGAAAGAGAATTACAGGCCAATCTTCCTAACGAACACAGATGCAAAAATCTTCAACAAGATACTGGCAAACAGGATGCAGCAAATCATCAAGGAGATTATACAGCATGTCCAAGTGGGATTCATCCCAATGATGCAGGGATGGCTCAACATATATAAATCAATAAATATTAACAGAGCCAAGAACGAAACTCATGTGATCATCTCAATAGATTCAGAAAAAGCTTTTGACATAGTCCAGCACCCATTCATGATTAAAAAAAAAAAAAACCCTACAGAAAATTGGAATAGATGGCCTTTGTCTCAATCTGATGAAAGTCATCTATGACAAACTAACAGCCAGCATCACATTAAATGGACAAAAACTGAAAGCTTTCACACTAAAATCAGGATCAAGACAAGGATGTCCACTGTCTCCACTTTTATTCAACACAGTCCTGGAAATTTTAGCCAGAGCAGTTAAACAAGAGAAATAAATGAAAGGAATAACAATAGGAAAGGAAGAAGTTAAATTATCATCAATTGCAGATGACATGATACTTTATATAGAAGACCCCCAAAACTCCACTACAATACTGCTAGATTTAATAAGCAAATGTAGTAGTGTAGGTGGACACAAAGTTAGCACTCAAAAATAAATAGCATGCCTGTACACAAATAACAAACTCACTGAGAGGGAAATGACAGAAATAGCACCTTTCATAACATAAAAAATGGGCCAGGGATATGGCTCAGAGGCACGGTGTCTGCCTAGCAAGCACAGGGTCGTGAGTTCGATTCCCGGTACCAAAAAAAAAAAAAAATTATGACACAGTAACATAAAAAAAGGAAATACATAGGAATCAGTCTAATGAAGGATGCAAAAGACCTCTACCTTGAAAACTACAGTACTTTGAAAAAGGGGATTGAAGTGGATAGATATCAGAAACTGGAAAGATATCCCTTGCTTGGGTAGGAAGAACTAATACAGTGAAAATGGCCATACTTCCCAAGCTGTTATACAGATTTAATGCAATTCTGATCAAAATTCCAACAGCATATCTCACAGAATTAGAGAAAACAATCCTAAAATTCATTTGGAACCAGAAAAGCCCTCGAATAGGTAAGGCAATTCTGGGCAACAAAGGCAAGGCAGGAGGCATCACAATCCTTGACTTGAAATTATACTACAAAGCTACTGTGATAAAGTCAGCATGGTACTGGCAAAAAAAAGACCTGAAGATCAATGGAACAGATCAGAAGATGCAGACACAACTACAAACACATTCAGCCACATTATTTTTGACAAGTGAGCCAAACATGTTCACTGGAAGAAAGATAGCCTTTTAACAAATAGTGCTGGGAAAACTGGCTGTCCA